TATATTGCCAAAGAGAGAGCGGAAGAAAGACCACTGGCAGCTGGTGGCAACCCTGGAAAACATTGTCCAGCACACAACCCAAATGTAATTTGTCCAGAAAGAAACGGAAAATGCGACAAAAGGGCGAAAACTTGTTGGTCTGTGTTGTCCAGCAACAACAACAACCACAACAACAAGAGAAATTCTGTGACTGGAGGTCATTTCTGTGCATAGTTCATTACGATTGAACTACCACAAAGGTGGGGTGCCTTGTTCCCCAGAAAACATGTGAGAGGAGGGAAAAGGTAGCTCTAGCAGATGGGGGAACGAGACGGAGGCTGACAATGCGACTGGGCAAGGCAAAAACTTTCCATTTTAGCTTTATTTTTTATTTGAATCTTCCAGAAAGATATTTTCTATCTAATGCTCTGCCGCCACTCTTTGGCTAGAAAATAAAATTTAATTTATTTTAATTTAGTTATTAATTTACAGAAATCTTTGCTTTTTTTTTAATAAATTTATTTAAAAATGCTTAAAGATTTCTTTAACATTAAACCAAAAAACAAAATGATTACAAATTTATCTTATCTTAATACTTACTTTATACTCTTTTTCCTAGCCATCTCGTTTCACCTTCTCCTTGTTGCCTGCTCCTTGTTGGCCAAATGTCATAAAGTTGCTACTTCAAACAGTCACGCCCACTATTTCCCCCACACCCCTCCTCCCTTGCTTTACCAAACCCCAAATCCAATGACCAGTATTCTCTGTCAACCTGATTAGTTTGCCTGCCAAATAAGGTGAGGGTAAGGGTGGGTGGCTACAGCTTCTGATGCTTCTGATGCTCCTGTTGCTTCTGCGTTGCCCATTGTCCTCGGCGACTTTTCTTTTGGGCCATAAACTTTAAACTTGGTAATGCTGGCTAAGGTCGACTGTGGTGATTCCACTTCCTGGCAGCCACACAATGCCCAGACTATGCCCATTACCCTCCCTTTAAGTTGAGAGGGGGCTTTCCCTTGGCTGTCGGTGCGACCATTTTGACCGTTAAATGTTGACATTTGTGCATTTCATTGTGTATGACCTCTTGGTGTGCACAACAGCTGCGGAAATGGTACACAAGGAGAAGGAAGTCTATAATATATATATCTTAAATCTGTGATCATAAACTAAATATAGATAATTAGTATAAGAAAAACTATTTAATAAACTCTTAAACTATCTTAAAGTACGAAAAAACAGCTCAAATCTTTGTTCTTAAACCGATAACCAACTTAAAGACGTTAACTTACCTAATTTTTCTCAGTGTTCCGGACTGTATCTTAGCTGGAACAGCTAAGGAAGATGCAGAAGGAGCAGAAGTCTGAATGCGGGATGCTTCTTGCCCACTATTGTCGTCGCTTGTCTACTCATAAACTAAATGTAAATTCCACCCCTCGGCGCCAACGTGCCACCACTTTTATTGCAGTGTTTCGCTGTCACAGCGAAGAAGATATGTTGCCCCTTTAACCCACCGTTGCCCCCCAGATCTAGAACCTTGACTCTATGTGTGTGTGTGTCTGGCTGTTAGCATTGTTCTCGTTGTTGTTTTTGTTGTTGCTGTTTCTGCCAACAGGCTGCAGTGCAGCAGTGAACAGCAGCACGACTCCTCTAACTTCATTGTCCCTCTGTCTCGTATGTCCAACTAACCCCTACTGTCTGATTGTCTGGTTCGGATGCAGTGGCCATGATATTTGAATTTATAAATCTATAAAACTCCAGAGAAAGAGAGGGGGCGGGGGGAAGGATGTGCCAGGATGTGTGTGCATGGTGCTGAATTAGAAGGAAATGAGAATACGTTTTGTTCAAATGGAACTGGTTCAAAGCGAGGACACCCCAGGGAACTGTTAAACACTTAAAGCCGAACAAAGAGATTCAATAAGCCAGTCAGCCAGTTTAGAAGCGGAAAAAACCCCGAGATGGGTGTGAAAAACTGGTAAAGGGGAAATTATATACAAATATCTAATTAAGTTGGTTGTGGAAAATGAAAGTTAATAAAGGAAATAGTGATTGGTTTTGGTTGCGAAAATGAATAGAAATTGGGTTTAATTTAAGTTAATATTCCTGTTTTTGCAAGTTTAGTAAGTTTAGTGAGGACTTTTCAGTCAGAACTGCTATCATAGCCACTAATTAACCATTTAAGACTTAACTTAACTTAACTTTCTCATTTCAATCATTTTTATTAATAATTCTTACTTCCAATATCTACCAATATCTCCCTCCATTTCATCACTTTATTTTCAGTTTCAAAATCTAAAAACTAACAGAAATCCAGCTGGCTAACAAAGTTCTTGTCAAAGCTTGCCATAAATCTAAATTATTCTTGATATCATTGACTACTTCACTGTATCAATAAATCCATAAGACATGGAATAAACATATTCCATTCACTTGCATCATGTCATTATGTCGCATTACCATATATCTATATAATATTTATCTATATCATTCCCAGGGATTTTCCCGCTGCAGTCATTGTCTGTCCACCAACTACTTTACAGCTGTCAGATTACGAGGGGCGGGGTTTTTGGGGTTAGAAGGACTTTACACCCCTTGAAGTCCCTTTGGCCGCAACCCTTGAACCTTGTCTATTCACTTTCTAATGGGCCACGTTGACGTTTTTAGACTGCCACAATATATATATATATTATATGTTTGTTTGAGGGTTTTGTATGGTGCATATGTCTAAGCTCTAAGCTGATGGTCTGGTCTCTCCTTAGCCCCCTTCTTGGTCGTCGCCCCTTTCGCAATTGTCATCATGCAATTGTGGAAGTGCAGAAGTGAAGTCCCCATTCAGCCCCTCCTTCCGTTGTGTGCATAAAAATCTGCAACTTGTTACATATTTCTTACTGTTGTAGATATTCTCGACTAGCTGTTGTGGAGTTACAAAAATATTAGGCAAAAATTTAAAGGAAAAATAAGCTTCTGTTTTCTACAAAGATTTCTTAACTTAAATAAGAACTTTTAGGACTGAATTTTAGATGGTTTTAGGCTTAGCATTCAAGGCTTCTTAACTCTTTGAAGTCTTAAAAATAGTTTTAAATATTTTTCAACCTAAATTTATCGTCAAATTATTGAATATGAAAATGGAAACACAATTTCTATTTAGACTTTTCTAATACCTTGCATTTTTCCAGTGTTAGAACAACTCTGCCATCTCCCCTCTGCCTTTGCCATATAATTTGCATTGTCGTGTCCATTTTGAGGCTTAGCATACGTCGCGTATAAATTGCATAATTTATGTGAATTATGCCGCATAACCTCGTTGGTCCCCCGCCCTCTTTAACCCCATAGATCCCATCAATTGCACTGTTGTTTAGCCTTTGGGGGTGCAATGAACTTGCAAAGTGGCCTTGTCCAGGACATTGGCATGTCCTTCAATCCCTGTCTCTCTCTCTGTATCCCACTCTCTGGAACTTAATTGTGACAATTGTCAAAACACTTCCTGGTTCGTCCTTCTGCTGTGGCACAAATCCAATTAGTTGGCTTAGTCCGTGACACAATCACTCACTCGCTCCACTCACTCAATAATTTAGCAAGGACTTGGTAAAGGCAAGGACGTAAGGTGGCTGCCAGCTTGCTTCCACCTTTTTTGCGAGTCATTTGGCGAGCAAAACGATTCGTGTTGTTTCAATCAATGATGCCAATCAAAATGAGACCGATTTTTATGCCACAGAGTTTGAACTCTTCTAACTGCTGAAAAAGGTAGAAAAAAAAGAAGGGGGGAAAAGGCAAGCTGGAAAATGGCAAACTGTATATGTAAATATATTTATTATTCGATTGTGATTCAGAATGTGTTTGGTGCCTTAGGCATATGGGAAATATATCAAAAAATGTTAGTACTAAGTACTATATATTCCTTAGATATTTTGGGTTGGTTTAAATCTAAATATTTGGCTAACTTTCCCGCCTCTCTTAACATTATTTTGATAATTATTCTCCCCATCCAATACAAAAACCAAAAACCTTAAATTCAAATACAAATCAAATTAAAAACTTTAAAAACCCATTGTCTTATTCATAAAATGCCTGCCCAGAGCCACAACAACAAAGCTCAATTACTCGTCTAACTAACTCCTAATCCTTGGACTTCTTAATGTTACCACTCTGCAGGCCCTTAGAAGATCAAGCTCTATGATTTATATGCAATTTTGTGGCAAATGTTTGGTGTATCCCTGGTCTAGGGCTAAATCACATTTGCTTGGTCTGGTTTGGCCTGGAGTTTTTGGGTTTCTTGCAGCAGTAGCTAGTCATTAAGCTAACAACGCTGCGTATGCGTAATAAATAATTGAAATTTCCGCCCAGAGGCAAAGGTTAACCGGTGTGGGAAAGGGATGAGGGACAGCTAGTGGGTCGAGGGGGGAGAGAAGAGAAAACGACTAAGACATTGAGAAAGAGAGTTGTGTGTGTTTTTAGCTTTTGGGCAAAGTGAGCGCACCAAAGCGAAAATGAAAATAATTTTCATTGCGACTTGCGACAGGGAAAGAGAGAGAGAGAGGGCAAAGCTGGGTGTAATGAACACACTTTTCGCATTTAAGCTGGCTGCAGTAGAACGCTAATGGGACAACAACAACAACAAAAACAACAACAACTACAAGACAGCAACTGTTGCTACTGCGCTATCCTCACATTTTTAATTCCTTGGCACATTTGTGTAACGTGACATGAAATCCATTTGATGTCGCCGTCATCTTTCTTCCCAGCTAGCTCTGCCTCTACCGCTGCTCTCTCTCTGTCTCTCTCTATCTATCTCTTTCCTTTCGGCAATTGCCATCTCTTTCGTTTTGGTCCTGCACTTGTTAACAAACAAACACGCTTTTCTACTTTTTATTGCTAATTTTTATTTTATTTCCTTTTTTTTTTGTATCTCTGCAGTGTAAAATGGCAGGAGGGGTGGTGAATACACAGAAAAAAATTAAAATTATATTATAAAATAATTAAAAAGTACTTTCTTCTATTAAATTTTTAAATTTTACTTTAATTTTCAGATTTTATAATACTTAATTTACCTCATTAAGTGATGTTTCTTCAAGATTCCGCCATCAAGGTAAGTGCCTTGCCTTTCAACATCTACAACGTTATTTCTCTCACTGTAGCAGTGGAAAATTACAGCGCGGGAAAGGCGGGGAAATATATACGTTGGTAACAGCGGAGCATTTTAACGCGATAACTCCCCTGGCAGTTGAGCTCATAAATTTATAAATGAGCCAGCGACTGTAAAATGCGAAACGAGCCGCGACGACACTGAAACTCGGTTGGAAAAACCAGTGGAAAATAGGGAAAGGTCCGGGGGGAGATTTCCTTGAAAAGCACTCATCATTTCGTTGTTTTTTTTCATTTATTTTGACAGAAATTTGAGATGAGTGAAGGGTATCAAGGCGGTGTCCTGCTGTTTGTTTAGGACGAATATTGACAAATTTTTGGGAAAAACTTTAAGGATTTTTATTGCTTAATAATATTAAGGGATGTATGTAAGAAGGGTTAAAAAAGGATTGAAAACCTCTTTGAGGAAATAATTTAATAATAATTTTACAGTAAGAATATCTTTTATATTTTAAAAAGTTAAAGGAAAAAGCTAGAAGATCTCTAATTTAGGAAAATTTTTTTGGTTTAACTTTTAAAATGATTTTTCTGATTATTCTTTAGTGATAAACTTTAAGTATTATTTTCTTTTTTTCTCTACAAAAATCATAGAGTTTATAATAGCAGAAACTATTAATTTATACACCCACTTTTTGGTTTCTTATTAATACCAAATATCTTAAAGCTTTTTGATTTACTTAAAAGCCAACAAAATCCATTAAAAACGACATCTTTAAGGAACTATCTTCAAGAGTATTTCCCTGTTTGCTTGTGTTAATTTGCAATCATTTCCCTTGTTGCTTTTGCTTTTATTTATTTGTATAACTTTTGTCATTCATAATTATTTGGGCTGTTTGTTTGTTTGACTTGATGTTGGTCCCTGACATCGAAACATCGGAAACGGAAACAAATGAAGTATCAGACGGGGAAATGTGTTTGCTTTACGAAAATTGACTGACTGAGTGCTAAAAAGCATTCGTAGCTACTTTTAATATTTCATTCGAAGCTCATGAATTTGTATTTTGTATTTCAAAGAGGGGCCCAGAAAATATGCATTTACGCTTTTATGAGCCTTCAAGGAGAAGGCTGATGAGTAGGGGGCATGGCATGCCCCCCAATTATTGTCCATTTGGGCATGCTACCATTTGTTTATGATTTTCTATGCCATGATTAAATTAAAATTTCTTTATTGGCCACCCCCTAACCTGCTATCCTGCTGCGCTTGGCTGGGTTTTCTTTGTACATTTCTGGTTTTGCTGGCTATTTTTCGGGGGGCGGAGTTGGCCCAGCCCGAATGCAATTAGCAAAGTTTAATGTGGAAATATTGCCATGAAGCCAATAAAATTGAGAGTGCGGTCAAGCGGCATGATTGGATTTCCACGAGTTTAGCTAGCAATAGTAGTTAACGTTTTTCCAGCCTTGTAAACTTTCATGCGGTTTTTCATCATAATTTCAATAGCCATCCGGCAATGAATTTTGTTTATCAATTTTATTAAAGAGTTTTAAGTCAATGCACAAATATTATATAATCTAAAATTTTTGGTTTGGAATTTTAGGAAAATGTTTAGAAAATTAGAAATATTTTCTCATATTCTTTTTGGTATTTTTAAACACATTTTAGCCTTTTTAGATTACAAATTTATAAATCTTTAAGGCAAAAACAGAATAAAAGATTGTTTAAAAAAAAACAAACAAAATTTAAAGTCAAAACTTGACGTTTGACTTTTCACAATTTCCTTAAACCACAAGTGAATATTTCCTAGCAATTTGTTAAATATTTCCAAGATTAGTTTGTGGTTTTAGCTGTTACAAAAACCGCAAGATGACTGTTATTTAACAATTTTCTAAGGATTTTTTTTATTCTTTGTTTAACTTTAAGCTAATCGACTGTATGTGTATACAATCAGGTTAAGTGATTAATTTATAAATATTAAATTAATAAAGGCAAGAGGAGAAGGTATAGTTTGCAGCATAAACCAAATTTGGTCAAATGACTAAAACTTTAGGCCAAGAGCAAAAAAATGCACCATAAAAAGACCCAAAAAAAAGACCCGTCTAGACAAATTTAACTTAATAGTAGAGCACTTAACCCCAGCTAACCCCTAAAATACAATTTTGCATATGTGTGCTTTGTGCGATTTGACCCCGAATGTTGGCTGAATAATTGACATTTTGACATTTATAAACATATTTTAAATAAACTTCAATCAATGTTCTCAGACATGGCCAACCAAATTGGCCCAAAGCAATGCAAATGATAGACTCGCCGAAAAAGCTGGGGCAAAATAAAACAAAGCCAAGGCAAAGCAGGCCAAAATGGAAAAACAAAAGGAGGGAAAATCACAGAGAGAAAAAATAAAAGTGTTCGGAAGGGGGGTGGGGGGTGAGCTGGGGGTAAGCCTTAAAAGTCAATTTGCCGCAGGCATTGCTAACAAAACATGAAGCGCGACGGCCAACACAGCAGACAATGCATATAAAAAAGGTGCCGAAATTTCCACAAACACACGGGCATCATCGAATTTCCATATCCAAAAAAAAAAAACAAAACAAAAATGAATGGTGGAGTCGAAAAATTTCACGCAGCTTAAAAACCGCACTCACGCACAAAATATTTTTATTTACCTTTCTCGTTTTTGGGGGCGGGAGGCAGGCTGTTTGGTTGGGCAAACAATAAACCACCCGATTCTCCAGTTACGGCTAAAAAGTATCTCCGACGATCCCTTGGCAAGAAATCGGGCACTAAAAGCGCCTTATTTACGACGTTTACATGCAATATTTACACGAAATCTCTTACAATAACAGTTATGCCTGGCAATGAGCACCTTCACTCCTTCGTCTTTATCCTGGAGAAGCAACTCCAACCCTGGACCCTCACAAAAAAGGCATCCACTCAATTGTTATTACTGCGATTGGTTTACTTTGCATTCCCCACACCCGCTTTTAATTTTATTAATTTGTCAAATAAAATAATGTGAATCGAATAGCCAGGTTTGCGAAATTGCGAAATTGATCACTTCAGGCGGCTTAATAATCTAATTCGATTTGAGTGGAAGTTAAATATTGCCTAAAGAAGTGTCAGAAAACATGAAGTTGTTGGATTTGATTTATTTAGGCAGAATTAGTTACTTTAAATATTTAAAAGTAAGTCTTGAAGATAATTAAAAACAAACTTAAAAGCCAAAACAATTTTGAATAATCAAAATTAAACAAGATTTTGCAATATTGATTTTTACACATTATAATTTTTATACTAATAACACATTTTCACATATGTAAATAAATATACTACTTAAGCTCACGTTTATATTATATTATTTATACATTTTTATTTACTTTTTAATTTATTTTAAATTATTTAATAAACTGTTCAAATTGAATTCATCCGATCTTCGTCACGTCGTTTTTGCTTCGCTTGAGCACGACTTCTCTTCGTCAGATCTTCACGAATGCTCCCCTTCGTTCCTCGTGTTCTCGTGTCATCGTTGCTGCTCTCTTCGTTCCCTTCGTTTTTTTTTTCGTAACAATCGTCACTGTGGTTTACACTTCTTTCGCTTTTTCATTCGCGACGTTTTTGCTCGGCTTGATCTTCACGAATGCTCCCCTTCGATCCTCGTGTCACCGTTGCTTCTCTCGTCGTTTTCTACTTCTTTCGCTGAACCTCTCATTTTCGTTTTCATCTTCTCCTTCAAATTCTTACTTCTATCGCGAGTTGTTCACTCGTAGATGCTCAAACTTTTCGCTGTCTTTTTACTTTTTTCGCCTGCTGATTACTCGTCGTCGCTTTGATCTCCTCCTTCGTCTTTTTCTTCGTTCGCAAGATGGGTCAGTCGTGCTTAGCTTTTATTGACATCTCTTCGTTCTGTGTTTTTCGTTGGCTAGGGATTTTGTATGTTTTTCGAAGTGGAATGTGGTATTTAAGCACAACAATTTGTGTGTTAAAAAACTATAGCAATTATGAATTAACTCAATAATGTAAATATTTTGTTATTCACACACCATTACTATTTAAAACAATTGTTCCGAATCTTTTTGCTAAAACTTTCCCACAGTCTACCATAAGAACTCCGAAAAAGGTCCCTCTTCTGATTTAGAGACACTCAAAATCAATCTGTCGTCATCCCTGGAAAAATGTGAGGGGTCTTTGCCAAAAAGCTTTGGTTCCGGCGAGTCCACGTATAATATTTTAGCATTACAACTGATTTTTCAACACGTAGCCGCATACTAGGCAACTTCCCATTCAAACCAAAAAAAAAAAAAAAAAAAAAATTGCCATCGTCGTCGAGCCGCATTCATATGCAAATACATAAAAGGAGCCGGCTGGATGGGAAAAATAAGTAAGAGCAGAAAAAAAAAGTGAAAAAAAAGAAATGAAAAAGAATAAAGCGTATCCGCAAAAAGCGCGTTGCGCAAATAGCGAGCTTCCTGAAATAATAATTCAAATACTGTGATAAAAATCGACTATAAACTCACATGCTGTGCAGGAAAAATCCCCACCCAACTCCATATACATATGCAGTCCTACTACCCGATTTTTCCTCCCCACCATTCCGCTTTTCCAGACTCTGTTCGGTGCGTACGTGCGCATATTTCATTCCCTAACGACCCCTTTTAACTGAGAAAATGTGTTTTCGTTACTTTTAGCATCTTTATCAAATAATAATATTACGCCGCACGAACCCAAACGTCGTCGAGGAGACCGCCGCGCCGGTTTCCCCACTTTTCCCCAAAACTTTTCCACCTATATAGCCCAGCCAGCTCACCCTCTCCATTTTCCCTCTCGATACCGCCGAAAAAAAGAATATAATTTTTTTTTTGTTTTTATTCCTTTGCATTCTTTGCCATTTTGCACTCGTCGGTGGTGCTGGCGGGGGGTGTGGGGTATGTAAAAAAGTATTATTGAAGAAATTGAAGCGGATGTGCGAAATTGGGATAGAAGCTGGAATACCCTGAGGATTATTTTCAAGA